CAAGGCTGGACCCGTCTCTTCTTAACACTGAAGTTTTCCCTCCAAACTTTGTTGTCTTCCGTAATAACGGAGATGATCGCGGTGGCGGTGTATTTTTGCTCGTTCATCAGAGCCTACTTAGCATTCCTGAAGATATTACCGGCGTAATCTGTGAAATGGTGTGGTTTAAGACTTTCCTCTCTCGAGGTGAATACTTAACTGCTTGTTATTTTTATAGGCCGCCATCGAGCAGTGCTCAACCGTTTCTTTTATTGTATTATGCGCGTTCCGTTGTTGCGCCCGGTCATGCGGTCTTGTGTGGTGATTTTGATCTACCAGATGTTACTTGACTAGATCATCACCCCATGATTGAAAATTCATCCTGCTCTTCGCAAGCTTTTCGTACATTATTAATGAATTCCATTTAGATCAGTTTGTTAATGAACCCACAAGACTTGGCGTTAGTCGTGCAAGTGTTTTAGATATTTTTCTCTGTAATAGCTTTTCATCGATCATTCCGTTTTAGTAGTTCCAGGAATAAGTGATCATGAGGCAGTAGAAGCGATTATGAAATGTTAAAATGTGCCTAGATATAGAAACCCCAAAAATGGCGTACATGTTTAATTGAGGGGATTATGATAGTTTAGGCTTAGACCTTTTGGATTTTTCGTCTGATTTTAAGGTGTACAGTGTGTCAAGTGATGTGAATACCTTATGGAACATCTTTAAAAATAAAATACAAGAATTTGTAGATATTTATGTTTCAACAAAGATGGTCAACGCGAAGCGCGAACAAGCGAAGTCATGGATGAATTCAGAAATCAGACGATCAATAAATAAAAAAACGTGTTTTTGCACGATATACAAATGTAACGATTCACAGACCTTGAACCAGCTAAAAAATCTTCAAAGAGATTTCAAAGTAAAAATAAAACAAAAGCTGAATCAGAATATTTTCTTTCACTTGATAGCGAACTTAAGGACTGTACCGAAGAACTGTGGAAGTATGTAAAATCGCAACGAAACGATGTGACTTGTGTCCCATCTCTTCTGGTTGATGAAAATCTTGTGACAGACGATATCGTCAAAACAGTCGCTTTCAATAAAAACTTCAAGTCTGTGTTTTGAACTTTTGCACCTTCATTACTACCGCCGACGGCTGATAAAGTTAGGGGTAAAATGAAGCAACTCACGTTTGATCACAATGGCGTAAGAAAATTACTAAGCAATATGAAACTAGGAAACACACCTGGGCCAGATAAAATCCAAATATCGTATTGAAATCTTCTGCCAATATTATGGCATCATACTTAATAATAATAATTACGAAGTCGCTAGAGGGTGGACGTCTGCGTGATGATTGGAAGTTTGGTAATATAGTTTCAATACGAAAGAACGGTAAAATATACTGTCGAAAACTATAGGCCGATTCCCCTAACGAGTGAATGTTGTAAGATAATGTAACATATAATTTATTCTAACCTTATTAGTCATTTAAATATCAACAAATTCTTTTGCTCAGCTCAACACGGTTTCCGCAAAGGGTTATCATGTAACACCCAGTCCTAGAATTTTATCGCGACTTTGCTCTTGCATTTGATAGATGCTGTCGAACTGATTGAATTTTTCTAAATTTTAGGAAAGGTTTCGAGGTGGTTAATCACTCGCTCCTGCTTCATAAATTACATAGCCTAAACATCGATGTAAAGGATTTGCGATGTACAGCAAATTATCTTAATCCTAGGAAACAGCGGGTCATCATGAATGGATTTCATTCATCATATGTAGATCTAATGTCAGGTGTACCACAAGGCAGTTTTAGGCCCCTCCTTTTCCTAATTTTCATTAATGATATCACGCACGGAATATCATCGAATATAAGGTTGTATGCTAACGATTGCGTTTTATACAGAAAAGTGACCAATGACAACTGCTTCCAGGTCCTACATGGTGATTTAAATAAGATCACAGAGTGGTATGACAAGTGGAAAATATTCCTTAATGTATCCAAATGTGTCCATGTTCGATTCACTACAAAACGTATAAAAGTCTCTGCCGTTTTTAAATTAATAAATCTTACTTTAGAACTTAGCACTGAGCCAGTATATCACGGGGTAAACCTAACCGCTGATTTAAGATGGAATAATCATGTGAAGTTATTATGTTTTAAGGCCAGCGGAATGCTCCATTTTTTGCGTCGCAATTTCAGGAAAGTGTCGGCTCATTTGAAAGAAACGCTCTACTTTTATTACGTCCTCCCAATTATGGACTACGCTTGTATTCTTTTGGACCCGCACACGTAAACATGAATAAATTAAATCGAAAAGTTTTATAATAAGGCCACGAGATATGTGCTAAATAAATATAATTTTCATGATAGTGTCTTTCCAACTCGGATGAAAACCATTACAACTAAGACGAAAGTACCTCCGTCTCAAGTTTATGTATAATCTTTATCACGGTAGCATCGGTATAGATAAGTCGAGATACCCAGTGGAACCTCATTACGTTTTCCTTGGAACTAGTAATAAAAAAAAGATCCGAGAATTTCGCACACGGACCGACGCTCTAAAATATTTTTTTTTTTCCACGGACAGTTAATGACTGCAATGTGCTGCCCGACTCACTGGTAGAGCTTCCTAATGTACAATCATTTTTTTGATGAAATATGTTATTGTAGTTCGTTCGATGATTTTTTTGTGACTTCTGAATGCTGTTAATCAATTTCTTATATTATGGCAGTATATATTGGCAAGTTTCTCCTGTATGACTTGGTTATTTCGCTGTTATTCATTTCCTCATAATTTTTTTATATATTGGAAAGTTTCTCCTGCTTGGCCTTGTTATTTGTTGTTGTTGTTCTGCTGTGCATTTGCATTGTAACTTCCTTTCGTCTCCCTTACTGTAATACACAGTGGGAGATGTAGGTACCAAATAAATAAATAAATAAAGCGTCGATTCCGCTCTTAGAAAACGGTGCCAAAGCGCAGTCGTGCGAAGTCGGAGTTTAGCGGCACTTTGGGGTCGGGAACAAGTTCGGCCCGTCTTCGCTGCCGCTCGATGTCTCCCTCGTGTGGACGCGCTTGGAAGACGGACGAACCGCAGACGTGTCGTCATGTGATCAATCTGTCGGCGGATCAGTTTGTCGTGTGAATCGGTCATAAATGAGAACCAACAGGTCGAGGTCCTTTTTCAGCGTTTGCTCTAATGCTATGATGCAAACAATATTTCTATATGTTAATCATTTGCATACAGAGCACACTCCAAGTGCACGTAGCACTTTAGGGTTTACAAATGTCCCACTTTCGAAGTTGGCGCCAGGAAATTATTGATTTTCGCCGCTCTATGTTCTGTAAACACCGTAAAACTTTGATACCATTCTGGTTTTAAATTTACTTCCAACGACGCCGGTTTATCTTGCTGAGTCGTTTTACGCGTGATCAACTGAGTAAATGTTGTTGTGAAGGATATCGTTATGCAGGGCCTACATAAAACTAAAATGAGTTATGAATGAATAGTGATCGAGAATAAATTACCAGATAACCTAATAAGGCAGGCGAGCTGGTTAAAGTTGAACGTTTCTAAAACCCAAGACGGAGGCTACAAAGAGAGGACAAACACAAGACGTCTAGAGCATAGTTACAAAATTTTATTTAGGACACTTCTTTTACGCCGGTTTTCTCCACACCGCCTTCCATTTTCACCAATGCTTCGCAACAGTTTACACAAGACTACAAGTGGTGGTCGATGTTTTCCCAGGTAACAAGGGACCACGCTTTCAGTATACATACGCCCATTTGCCCGCAAGTTGCGAACTAAGCAATGGCCGAGGTCACTTTCATCCACCGATAAAAAGAAAAAAAACACTTGCAGATGACAATTGCAAAACGTTTTTCTTACATCATCCAGTGCCATTACTGACCGGCTTATATAGTTCCAGCAGAAGCTGTCCTAATGGTTTCCTTGAGGACTCTTTTAGTACAATCGTTTCCTTTGAAAAACACGCTCTACTATCGCACTGAGCCGCACAATTTCCACACTATTCAAGGTGCATAGCTATTCCGGAGCTAGGAAAATAATATTTTACTGCTCTCTTGTGCTTACTCGACCGATCATTCACACACCGCTTGATTTTTTTATTTTTTTTTTTTACGTACGAAAAACCGCACGTCATCGGTATCTGATAAACAACGCCTTCCCGGCAGTCGACTGAAGCATCACTATGTTTTTTTCTGACAACCTGATTGTCCTCCAAAAAAGGACGTCACCTTGCCTAATCTCAAGTCAGTCTAGAGAGCAGCTTTGCACCGAAGCTCCCCGCGATGCACATCAAGTTTAATAACACGCCATAAAAAAACTAAACGCGCACTGCCCTGTCACTTTGTCTTTGGCCTCTTTACCATCCCACTGATTTTTAAAACCAGTTTCCTCACTAGCCTTTTCCCCATACTCTCACTGTAACCCTTTTGTTTTAGCCGAAGCAGTTCGCTATCCACTGAACCTGGTCATGTATGAGGACAAGATTTTTTGAAGGCACTATCCCAACAGATACATGACTATTCCTATTTGGACTAAATTAGAAAGGCATCTCTTATATGGCAACAAGGGATTTGTCGCCACTTTGCCGTACTCCCAACACAGTAGTCCCCCATGTTTGACACATCTTGTTTTTCTACCTTCTGCGTAAACCTAGGTCTTGGGTTCTAGAAATGTATAAATTACCAGTTTTGTTAAACTTAATTTCTGTTGACGATTTCAATCATCGCTCCGAATTGGGAGCGAGGTGGGTCTTCGCGTGAATCGTATTCAGTGCTTTTTCTTAATTCTTGCAGTTTGCGACATCATACACTATAGGTCAATCAGCATTTGGTCTTCGTTTTGCCCTAAATTCTAATTGAAAATCGCTGATAACACGAATAAACGAATCACAAAATAAAAAGGCAAACTAAAAAAAATGCTAATGCGTAGCATATATATACCAATTTCAAACTGACTCTTTTTTTTTTCCTTTTTCTAAGCAGGAGCTTACAGGAATTTGTCGTTTTAAATGCTGTAGTCGTCTCTCCCTAACTTACGACGAAGAGTCCTGCGGCGCTGAGCATATTTTACCGGATGGAGCTGACTGTGGACATGGAAAGGTAAGTAGTTTCATATCTGTACTTCAGTTATTTAAGGTGATTAAAGAGCAAGAATGGTCACATTTGCAAAAACTGCTTTTAGTTTTTATTGTTTTTATATTTTCAATCGTAAACCTAAAGAAGGCTGTTATTTTTTATTTGACTTACACGTGCCCAATATCTCAGGCTTGTTAAACGTCCTTTTTGGGATGCTATAGTTTCGATATAGTTAAAAACACAACTGCGTATCTATCAACAATCAGCAAATCGCTTACACTTATTATTAAAAACTAACGTTGTGTGTGTTCTTCAAAGTAGTGTTATAGAAGAAAGTAAAAAATATAGCGTTCCATGTAATCATTTCTGTGTTAGCTTCTTCCGATGTTCCAGACATCTGGTAGTTGCATGAGCAAACCATACTTTTTGTGGGAGTACCAATTGTTTGAGCAATTAGGCAAAATTTGAATCGTAATCTTGTTTTCTAGAAATGATTTATAAACTGAATGCAGCATCATCAAAATCACGCGTAGAAGTTTTTTTGTTTTTTTTCACTGTACCACTTTACGAAATTTGAGAAATGCACGCGAAAATTGCGGTTATAGTGGACCTAGCCCACACGGTTTATGATTGAAATTTTGCTTCGGTTTTGAAGTTTCGTTTTTAATTTACTTTTATATCGTTTTACAGTGTATACGCGTACACCCGCGAGCGATATGAAGGTGAACAGCCCCCTTCTTGTTTTTGACGCTCCTGCTAGTTTTGGAACCAACTCTGTTCCAGATGAGGGCTAGAAGGCAAAGTTTAGACCCCCCAGCCACGTACCATTTGAGACGTTGAGAGTTAATATAGCTTTAGGGAGCCGTAAATCAGGCAACAAACCCGATAAGGTGTTCACCTTCATATTGCCGGCGGGTGTACATTTTAGTGAGTTCTGTTGAAGATACTTCTACGCTTGCCCTTGATGTATTTTAGACTTACTTATTTTAGAACCACACGGCAGAAGATAATTTTTAAAAGCACTACAGAAATGTCCAGCAGCAAGCATATCAATTTTACTCGCGCTGTTTTATTGGCTTCATTGGCATTCAGCTTTTTTTATGTTTCGATTTAAAGAGTTCGGGAAAGAAAATCTGTCGAACTGTTTTCCACTTTAAGTAATCTTTCTGACACTAGTGTGGCCAACGTAAAGTCTCACGAAATACCACTGACAAAAAGACGCTTCTTTGTCGAGGTATTATTTCAAGAATTGAAACAGAATTTTAAGTATTAGTCTCTAGGAAAACGTGATGATACCTTTATGAGAATTGCAATGTTGAAGTAGTCCTTGAGGTTACCCTATGGAAGTGGTTATCAACCATTGATGTTTTGCGGACCCCTTGTAGATGGGCGGACGTGATCGAGGACTCCGTTCGGGGTGAGGGGAATAGAGAGGTATAGGTTAATCATCATGATGATTTAATACATGAATATAAGTTATTGCTTGCGTGAAGTAGACTTAGTTCAATGACATACGCACGAAACAACTCACCCGGATATTGGAACGTTTACTCTCAATGTCAAAAAAGACAACTTGTACTGCCAGGCTTGACTGATAAGACAAGGCTTCGCGGACGCCTAGGATGCCTTCGCGGACCCCAAATAGTCCGCGGATTCCCATTTGAGAACCACTGCCCTGTGGTAACGACAGGAAAATGTGATTTATTGACTGAACAGAAGCAAAGCCCGTGCATTCGATTTCGGCTAGTAACAATCAAGATCTTAGATGAACCTTTAGATGGTGACTCATGTGCAATCGCTTAAATTAGGTAAACATCCGAACTTTCATTGCGAAATCCTGCAACTTCGCACTTGCCTGGCGCGTTTCTAACCGAAGCGTTTGCCTGCGATGAAAAGCAGCAGCTTATCAAAACTCGTGTTTACCTTTTTGTTTCGGCAAACGCTATTGGTTGGACGAGGAACTAATGCATGTTTTCAAAATATTGGCGAAAAAAAAGTAAGTCTAAGTGCTATTTCCTGAAAGTATAAAACTGTTTCGCCGCCTCTTTGAGGTGAAACGAAGTATACGTGAATTTCATCGTCAAATTCGTTTTTTTTTCTTAATTTTCACTTAACGCCGTTTTAGTTTTTCGCGCGATTATGCAGTGGATGCGACCACGGTGGCAGAAAAAAGATGTGTCGAAAAAGGGCCATGAAGGGAGTACAACTTCCATTTGGGTTTTGTATATCTCCCGTCAGGTACACCGTCGGGTTCGGGTTCGTAAAATCCCTGCATAGGCCGTTTTGCTCCTCGTGGCCGCCATGTGGATTTCTGACGTTGATTATTTGGATTAAAATAGCACATGAATTTATTCGCTGAATTGAAGGTGCTTGAAATCAAGGGGTTCATGCCAATAGATCCACTTTTATATGGGTAATAGCTCAACGTACTGTCATTTATGGAATTGAATCTGTCCAGGATCGATCAGCGCGCTTTATTTTATCTAAGTATTTTCGTCTTGCTAGCGTTTCGTTAATTAAATTAAATCTTGGCCTTCCTGACCTATTAATTGGAAGAAAACTTTCGCGTCTATCTCTGTTTTATATATTTTTTTATAACCCTTCCTTGAAACAAATACTTATTACACAACCATCATACCTCTCAGCCCGCAAGGATCACCAGTTCAAAGCTGCCATTTATTAATGCAGCACAAATATTTTTTTTCATCCCCAAAACCAGCTTAGAGCGAAGCCGGCTTCCCCTTCCATTGCCTCCATTGAAAATTCGTCATAATTTATATCCGCCATAACTGAATATATTTATAATCCTGTATTTATTTACGGTGTGTATTTTTACTACATATTATACCACTGTTGGTGTATTTACTCCATGTACCCACCCCTCTGTAATGGCCCAAAAGACCGTGTAGGTATTAAAAAAAAAAAAAAAAATAAACGAAGGTGGGTGTACCTCGATGCTGGATACCTGGAGGTCTACACACTATTTTATATATTTTTTTTTTCAATCAGCCAGTAAGAGCTCGGCGTTCGTATACATCATCGCAAACTAAGTGCAAGATGCAGAATAATTTACGCTCCACATATAATCTATTTCTTACAGTAAACATGGAAGTGAGGCGGAAAACAACGGATATTTCGTATTATATAACGATTTCGGTAAGCGAGGGAAATTTCGGCAGAAATAGGGAAGTGTCAGGCGTTTGCTAGGAACATTTTGACCTTCCCTGGTGGTGGCCCCGGTCGAGCGTTTCACAGACTTAAGCGCGATTCCACCCAAAGCGTTTTTGTGCACGCATAGGCTGTGAGGCTCCCGAAAATCGGATATTTCGTGACGTCGCGCTGATTCCGTGCACCTTCCCGGAGCGGATAGAAAAGTTCGATATTTTCAAGCTTTTCTGAAGGCGCTACAAAAATCGCTGTGACATAGTAGGGCGCTCCTGTCTGCAGCCAAGCGGTGGAGGGCACTAAGTCCGGCTCCGCGTTTCTTCACCGTTTGACGCGGATGCTCCGCTCGCCCGAAGCGACACCTTCCTAACCAACGCGTATGCTTGTGACCAAGAAAGCGTCTCGGAAACAGCAAAAACACCACAAAATTCGCAATTTCCGGGAAGCGCACAGCCTACGCGCGCACAAAAACGCGTTGGTTTGGATCGCGCTTTAAAAAAAAATCTCGTGAAATCGCGTACGCGAAGGAGGGCGGTTTCTACACAAAACAAGTACACAAAACGTCATAATCAGCTGTGCTTGATACCCTATAGTGCATATGCCGTTTTTACCCGCTGACTTGGAATTTTATCTCATGCTCAGCATTTACCAGTTCGTTTGCGTCCGTACATTTATTTCATAAATATGTTAACTTTTGTGTCGCAATTATGGACAACTCATATTGTGGACCTTTTTTTTTCGGAGGGGGGGGGGGGGGGGGGGGGGGGAGAGAGAACGGATATTACCGATACATCAATCTCACAAAACTTAAGATGTTTGGGCTTTCCTTGATATTCAAAGAAAAAGGACTTTTTAACTTCAACATCTATCGAACTAACTTTGCGATCAAAGTAATATTGATATAATATGCTTTAACATCAACGAAATCTAAGTTAATGCTGTAGCTACCTCTCCACGTAATTGTCATGCAGATTCAGACACTTATGAAATGCCTCAAAGATTAGGATGCCTAGCTCGAAGAATGTTCCGACCTGGGCTCATAATCATTCCATCAGGCGTTCATCAAGACTATCATTGGCTACAGATTTGTAATAATTATTTAGGAAACTCCGTGAAGTGGCAGGGAGGGCGATCAGACGTTTATAATTATGGGGGTCAGAGAATAACATCTGTGGCAACAGAAGGTCTCGTGGAGCACGTGATAGATAGACTGGGGATCCAGGTTGTGATCTTCTTCGAGGAGGGGTTGCAAAATCTTTTGCCGGGTCATGAAAATCGCCTTAACGTGAGCGGATATTTTTCGGAGAAGTCGCAGCATGATGTGCCTAAGTTTTATACATATTAAAACATTTTTCATCAGGCGAACCTTTCGAGCCAGTTCATCGAATGTTAAAAAAACACAGCCCTCGTATTGCACTTCATATGAAATATTGACCCGAACTGAATAAATGTATATATATATATATATATATATATATATATCTGCATTTTCCCAATTATGGAGGTGTGGGAGTATCTTTTATTTCTCCGTGCTGCCGCAGTGAGTTCGGCGAAGCGAACTTACACCCGCTTTAAATCGCGTGCCGTCGATTACTTTGCTACTGTATCGACAACATTGCCATGATTTTGACTCCCACATACATTTCTTCCCCTTTCATCTACTTAAATATTGATGGTAAAGCAACAACATATTTGCAAACATCGCAATTTTAAGGTTTATCAACCGCGAATAAATATCTTTCAATTCTTGTATACATTATGGAACCCTTGACACATGAAAAAGTCATTTGGGTTGAATATTGCTCGTGTCATTGGCGAATTAGCACGCCCTCTGGCATGAGCCTCGTACGTAGACCGCGCTGTGTCAGGAATGGTGTCGCTGACTGGCCGATCGCTCAATTGTCATTTGACGGAAATAACATTAACATTTATTAATTAAATTGGAATGACAATGCATTGCATTTTGCGTTACTTTTATTCAACTTCGAGATGTGATGTGTTTTGTTGAATATTGACGATAGCAAAACGACTTACTTCAAACCCTTGTCATTGCGGAGGCACTTACCTGCGAATCAATGTTTTTACATTGTCGAGTGTAATAGGTAGTGGAGCTGTAAAAAAGTTGTGAATATGTTTTTTTTTTGTTTTTTTTTTCTTTTGGGGGGGGGGGGGGGTTTCCACTGTATCTCTATGTGTGGTTTCCGGGCATATGACAACGATGCACGGTGCATGTTGCTTTAAACATGATTGCCCACGAAACATGTATCTGAACGCTGCAATAATCTACTGCACCCCTTATTAGAGCCTTAACCTTACAGATAGGGTGTAAGCCAGGCAAATAAAAAGTGTCATGCTAGTGCACTTTTTCTGATAACCTCTTTTATTGTCTATGGGTTTCACGTATTGTAGTCGTATAGCTCCATAAAATTAAGTCCAAAATATTGTAATGTGGAGCCCTTAAATATGGTATGAAAAGTAAGTGCCAAGGGCGGGTTTGTCGACACTTTTTGTCTGTGCTGAGTTTGATTAAGGCTTATACTTAAATAACTAAATATGCAAAGTTGTGTTTTATTTTCTAGAGATGCGTAAGAGGCACGTGCGGCTACTACGACAAACACGGAGCACCGACGACCCAACGGCAAGGTGCTTGAACATAAATATACAACTACTCGCAGAAATATCTCTTCAAATCGTATAGAAAAAGAGGACTGTAGAAAACTCAAGTTTCAAGTTTAACAATTTCTCTGCAACGCAGAATAAGAAATCAACTAAACTGCAGCTACTTCAAGCCTAAAGAGCATACATAAACAAGAGCAAGTAAGCGACTTTGTAAACATAGTAAATAAATTTAGTGTTCATTTGAAATGTGTTCATGTTTGGATTTTAATTTTAATACATGCACTAAATAAAACACGAGTGCGTGACGCTCGACCCTTAAGAATAATACACTAGTCAGTAGGAATCATCAGATCAACTAAAACATCGGTTGTTTTAACTAATACATCCCTCAAGACTTTCATCATTAAATCCTGAACAATTCCTGCTATATTGAACATCTCTGCTGTGCCTAAAAGACTTAAATAAACATTCGGACTTACAGCGGTCTACGCCATCATTCCCAGAAAAAAAAGGGGCAATTCATAATTACTCTTTTTGTTTGTCTCACGAAATGGCTGTACACAACGATGCTGCTGAACCGCTTCCTCAGCAACCCGTGGCAAGGCAGGAGTGTATGCGTACACTAAGTACCCTCAGTCGCCAATTCCCTTGGCTTCGTTGCTTACCCCATTCCAGTAAGTAGTTGATGCACTTGTACACCTGCCTCACAAGGACTTTATTCTTTCATGTTGTTATGTGCGACCCTAAGATATGAGAGTGACTTGTCTCCGCCTAGTCTGGCTGCACTATGTGTGCCAAACGTATTTTGGCCGCCCGATATCGGTGGTCTGTGATTTTAATTCTTCACATTTGGCTTGGGGCTAATCCTCTACCAGGACAGGACGCCCTCTTCCGATGGACACTTTTGTGAACGCTCAATTCACGATCTTAAACGCCTCAGACGTTCCAACATGTCGTAATGCCCACCCTAATTTTGTCCCTCTTCTCCCGACATATCATGATGACTTGGCCATGTCCCATCCATCAGCCGAGATCAAGAACCGGACTGTTGGTGTAGAGATCATTTTCCCCTCCATATAGGTCTGCACCCAAGTTCCACCTGTCTCCGCCGCACGTGTCTTTTTACGAACAAAGATATGCTCCTTTCTTTCGTCAGTGCTTCTTTGCATTCAGGTTTCCAGGTCACACCTGAAAAACCCCTCTCTCTTATCTGGCCGATAATCTCTGGCGCAACTACGTGCCGCTGGGAGGATGAGTCAAGACTGCCCGATTGGAAAACCCCAAAATGAACAGCGTATTATGGATATTGGAAAACAATATCGTTTTATTGTATTACAATACGATATGGACAGTGTAATGGAAAACATTACATTTATCGTATTGTATTACAATAAGGGTTTGCTATGGGATTCCAATATCTATAATACGCTAAAAACATTGGAATCCAATACCGTATTAACACTTATTGGATCTCGATGTGTCTATGGGGATCCAATAAGGGTTTTCAATTCCAGTGTACTTAGCATTGGAATCCAATATATTATATCGGCTACCAATAAAACTATATACGAGTTGGAATATCACGTTCAGCACGACATTTCTTTGCAACGCAGTCTCTCCTTGTGTGTATTTCTCAGTGATAAAATAAAAGATGTTGCTGTTGTCAAATTATGAATAAAGAAGCAAGACAATGGGCTTATACATACCAAATATATTTAACATATTCCTGAACTGGAGGATCTGGCATTTACTACAAAAGAAAGTTAGTTGTTTAGGACCCTCATTCAGAAACTTGATCCTTGAAAAGAGAATGTGCAATCCTCACCTTTTAATGAAAACAGCACCTGCTAGCTGTAGCCATATAGAAACTGCAAAATGAAAAATTGTGATTAGTTCGCAACAAGTAGCAATCCTTCACCAAGCCGGATAAATTCAAAATTATTTCTGCGTTTGATTGCGGAAAAATAAGCCTCAATTTCACTGCCACGGGTCATTCTGAGCTCGGTCAATTAAATATACCTATCCGCTCATCTGGCTTCACAATTCCTGCTTTGCACCTAACTAGAGTGTCTGGAATGCTTACCTTTGAGGAAAAACGAACTGGTGGTTGCTTGCTTGTAGGCCGTGGAAACTGGAAGAGAGATTTTCGATTAGTGTCGTTCAAGTAGCAATTACATTGTGTAGCCCCGTAAAGTACACTAAGTCGGAAATATTAAAAAAATTAAATGCGTGGGACATAGATAACCTCTTGCGATGTAACTGGGCATACCTCATTGTCGCTCGCGTGTATTACAGAAAAATAAGCTTCAATGCAGGAGCCCCCAGTCGTTTTGAGCTCCGTCAATTAAAAATGCTGTACCGGTCGTCTGGCTTCAGTATTTCTGCTTCGGGAATCTGGAATTCTCACCTCTGAGGAAAAACAAACGGAAAGGCCGTGGAAACTGCCAGAAAGATTTGCGATTAGTTGCGTCCAAGTACCAATTTCTTTGACCAGCCGCCTACAGCACGCTAGGCCGGATAAATTCAAAATTACATGTGCGTGACATAATATGCCTCTTGTGACAAAACTGGGCACATGTTTTGTTGCGTACAGCAACAGTGAAGCCAGACAGACAAGCGGTACGGCATATTTAATTGACGGGGCTCAGAACGACTGGAGACGCTTTCACTGAAGCTTGTTTTGCTGCAATACACGCGTGTATTGCAGCCAAACAAGCTTCAGTGAAAGCGTCCCCAGTCGTTCTGAATTCTGTCAATTAAATATGCCGTACCGCTTGCCTGGCTTTAGTATTGCTGCTCCAGAGCAATCTAGAAAATCTAGAGTCCTCACCTTTAAACAAGAACGAACTGGCGCCTGCTGGCTTGTGGGCCGTGGAAACTGCAAGAGATTTGCGATTAGTTACGTCCAAGTAACAATTTTTTTGAGTAGCCAACTACAGCACACTCAAAATTATATGCACGGGACATAGATGCCTCATGCGACGAACTCCCTTCACACTTTTTTTTCTGTTAACTCTGCTCACCTTCACCACTCGCCTCCGATTTCTGCGCTACTTCTTTAATCTCGATTCCCTGGTTCCCAAAGGCCATGGCATCGCTTGTGCCAGTCACGGGTCTGTCAGCTCTGCAACCGGCGCCATTGTGGCAAAGACGCCATAGCACCTGGCGCTTGATGTGCTCTTTTAATATTTTCAGCATGGCTCAAAACAGGTGGATGGGTGTTTGGTATGCCCTTTGCGTATTTGCGGATCGTTTCGAATCAGAGGATAGGCGCTTCTGCGATCTGGCGCATGCTCGGTATTTTACAACAGTTGAAATCGAACTATGACAGGAATCTTCAATCATAACAAACAGAATGTGCATGCCAAAAGGCATAGCAAATGAAACACCCACCGTCTATCTATTTTCGGTTCTTGTCCGCAAGAAGCCGTCGTATATGTAGCCTTCCTTGTTTAAGCCGCTCCTTCCTAATGTCCCGGTTGGGTCTCGTCCTGATGGATCGTCGGTGGAGACCGGAGGTGCGGTCAACATCAGATTAGACCTTTTGAGACAGAACCGCATACTTGGTGGGAGGAAGTACACCCAAACGAAGTTTAGGCATGTCATTTATAGTCAGATTTAAAATGAGAGGCCTAATGTAAAATGAGACGTCAATACTGACGCACCCCTTTGCGAACCAAAAATTTTGAAGGCCTTGTCCCCCTTGATAGGGGGACAAGTCACATGAATCCCGGCATGTAGATGAAATTTTTACCTTAACATTTCGACTCAATGCCCATCCCCGAATATTCGACCACCACACTTTTAGGAAAAAAATAACTTTTTAGAAAACACTGAGTCATCGACCACCCCTACAAAAGCCTGAACCGAGCATACTCGTACCGTGGCTTGTTTGTTCCGTGCCGCCCACCAGTTAATTCGGGCTGACAATGTGTTTTTTTTTCAAATGGAACCCACAATCTTAGTTTCGGTTTCACTTGTAGAGGCAGGTGGATACTTTTGTAAAGCTTCCTCCCTATGCGCTTCCGAGTCAACATTTTTGCAATGGCCAACGTCCGGGCTTTGATTTTGCGCTCCTTGACAAATGCTGAAACTCATATAGCCGGGCAATAGCTCGCCTTGAAAATAGTTGCTCTTGGTGGCCGAGAACAAACTCGTGTTCTTGATTGGCAGCCATTTGCTGCGAAGAATACCTGCACATATCCTAAAGAACCCAGTCTTATTCTAATACAGATGCTTTGGCTGGACAGATACACAAAAGCCTGACACAAGACCACTATAAAGACAGAAAATAGAGTGTCTGTGAAAAATAAAGCAAACAACTCAGATAGGCATCAATCACTCACCTTGAAAACACGTGCGATGAGCGGCAAAGAGCAAATTTCTGGCCTTGATTGGCTGGTGCTTGCCACCAAGACATGCATGTATAAGAAAGAACCCAGTCTTAATTAAACTTGGGTGTTTTTGCAGAAGAGAGACAACAAAATACTAATGCAAGGCCACTACACATAGGAAATGGTATCCAAGAGGAATGAAACACAAAAGGCAGTGTGTTAGTGTTGACTCTGTTTTTTTTCCCGGAGTCACCCGTTTTTCCGGGCGAGTCCCAGGGCTCGGTCCTTGGGCCACTTTTGTTTTTAATTTTTATTAACGATTTAAAGATACACCACCAAAATGTACAAAGCCGATTTTTTGCTGACGATTGTGTTTTATTTGCTAAGGTAAACAACCCGTCTGATGAAGAAGAATTAAATTATTGTCTATCTTTAATTCATGCATGGCGCATAAAATTGAATATGGTTTTGAACTGTAAAAAGTGTGTTAAAATGGCCATGACGCGGAAGAACAACCCTTTGTTTTTTACATATTTTATCAATGGAGTACCACTCGAGTCTCTTAAACAATATCAATACCTCGGAGTTTTGATTACCTCTGATTTGTCATGGAGTGCACATATTGAGTTTATAGCTGGCAAAGCAACGCGGAAGCTCTGGTTTTTAAAACGAAATTTTAACCTGTGTTCACCTGAAACTAAACTGACTGCTTATAAAACCATCATAAGACCAATGCTAGAATATGTAGGTATTGTATGGGATCCTCATACAAAGCTGTCAATTGATATGTTAGAGACTGTGAAAAAAAAACATTGCGGTTTGTGTACAGCCGTTATGATTTTATGCCATCCGTTTCAGATTTGTA